CACTCCTCTGCATCCCAAATACCCTCGTGTACCCCCATCAACTGCCCCCCGCGCCCCAAATATCTTGTTTATTCCTCTGCATCCCAAATACCCTCGTGTACCCCCATCAACTGCCCCCTGCGCCCCAAATATCATGTTTATTCCTCTGCACCCCAAATATCCATGTGCGCTCCCACGAGCCACCCCCTGCACCCCCAAATGTCCCTGTGCACCCCAAATATCCATGCGTACCCCCATGAGCCACTCTCTGCACCCCAAAGCCTCATGCACACCCTCCTGTGCCCCCGCACCCTCCCTCTGCACCCCAAATCCCCATCCTCCAACCCTGCACCCCAAACACCCCAACAGCCCCCCTTTGCACCCCAAAACCATCCTCCACCCCCACACACTGCCCACAACACCCCTGGCCTGGCTCCCTCTTGGCCCTACACCCCCAGCCTCCCTCCCCAGTGCCTCCCAGGACCCCAAATTCTCCTGCACACCCCCAAAGTTTCAGGGCGCCCCCCCCAAATTCCAGGGATGCTCCGGGGTGTGAATCTGGGAGCATCCTCCTGCCTGGGAGCGTGGGAGCACATGGGGACTGGGGGGGCTGGTGGGGGGCAGAGTGGGGAGGGGGCAGTGTTGGGGGGCAGAGCACCCCGAAATAGCTCTGCCCTCACCCCCGCACGGGGCAGCGCGGGGGTTAAGTGGAAGTGGCTGCAGGGAAGAGGAAATCTCGGCAGGAACAAGGACAGGGGAAGGCCAAGGGCAGCGGCCGGAGGCGCAGCCGGAACGTGCCGGAAGGTGTCGGAGCCTTGGCCGTGGGATCGGGACGTGCTGGAACCCCAGGGTGGAACTGGGACGTACTGGGACCTGCGGCGTGGAACTGGGACGTGACGGAGCCCCAGGGTGGGACTGGGACGTGCCAGGACCCCGGGTGTGGAATCAGGACGTGCTGAGACCCTCAGAGCGGAGCTGGGACATACTGGGACCCCCGGCGTGGAACTGGGACGTACCGGGAGCACCGGTGGACGCGGGGCAGGAGGTGCCCGGGATGGAGAAGGCAAGTGGGGTGTGGGATGTGCTGGGCACTTCCCAGGGCTGATCCCACACGGTCAAGGGGCTCCTCATGCTGCCCTCGGGCACCCCCCGGCCACAGGCCTGGTGCCGGGCTCTGGGGTGGAATTCCAGGCTCTGGGGTGGAATTCCAGGCCTGGAGACCAATGGGCTGGTGGCCAAAATTCATCCCCATCCCAGGAAACCCCAGCGGGTGCCACTCCCTCTGGCCCCACTGCTGGCCAGGGGACGGACACACCCCCCTGGTCCCTGAGGCCCCCACAGCTCCCACCTGGCGAGGAGGAGGAGGAGGAGGATGAACGAGGGGATGAGGATGATGAGGAAGAGGAGGATGAGGATGGCCACGAGGACGACATGGCGGGTGACGCCGAGGACATCCTGCGCTACGAGGAGCGCATCACCGGGCTCCTGGCCACGGTGGCCCGGCTGCACCGACAGGCAGAGCGGCTCCAGCGCTGCCCCGGCAGGTACCGGCACCGGCACTGGCACCGGGGGGGCACCCACCACATGGCCCCCCTTCATCTCTGCCCTTCGTCGCCCCGCAGGGAGGGCGAGGAGGGCTGGGAGGGCACCGCCAGCCCCGCCGCTGCCAGCCCCACACCGCGGCGCCTCGACGGCACCGGCGCCGGGCAGGAAGGTGAGTGCTCGGTGCCGCGTGCGCTGTGCCACGTCACCCCGTGCCGTGCCACCCCTGACCCCCGCCGTGCCCCCCAGCCCACAGCCCCGACCTCTTCGCCGACCTCCAGCACGCCGTGAGCTCCCTGGAACGCGCCGTCTTCTCCCGGCACCGGCGGCCGCCGGCGCAGCTCCTGCCTGGCGAGGAGTGGGCGCGAGCAGCCAAGGTGGGGCTCGCCGGCACCCCCGGCCCCGATGCCAAGGGGGTGGGCGCCCACTGACCGGGCTCTGCACCCCCAGAGCCTGGAGGAGCTGAGCCGGGCACCGGGCTGGGCCGGGCGGGTGACGCGGCGGTGCCCAGCGGTGGCAGCAGGCGAGGAGCTGCCGGCGGAGGTGACGGCGGCGCTGGCGAGGAACGCGGCGCTCCGGGCAGCCGTGGGGCGCCGGGACGAGGAGCTGGAACAGGCCACGGCCGCGCTGCGGGCGCTGCGGGGGGAGCGGGACCGCCTGCAGGGCAAGGTGGGTGTGGGGGGCACCGCGCGGGGGGCACCGGGTGCGACCCCAGGGCTCAGCCTGGTGCCCGGCACAGGTGGGGGACCTGCGGGATGCCCTGTCCAGGCTGGAGGAGCCGGGGGGGTCTGGAAGTGACGCCCCCGGGGTCAGCAGCCCCCTGAGGCTGTGCCAGGTGAGTGTGAGGGGGCCGGGACAGGGTGGGGGGGTGTTGGTGGGTGAGATCCTGCCCCAGTGCTGGGCTCTGCCTGTTCCCTCCGCAGGATTTGCCCCAGTGCGGGGACAACGCTCAGCCCCACGGGGTGCAGCCCCAAGGGATCCAGCCCCACGGGGTGCAGCCCCAAGGGATCCAGCCCCACGGGGTGCAGCCCCTCAGGATCCAGCCCCACGGGATGCAGCCCCTCGGTTCTCAGCCCCACAGCCCCCTGTCCTCCCAGCCCTCGGTGGGTTCCAGCCAGGAGCAGGAGGAGCGGCTGCAGCAGCTGCAGGGGTGAGACCCCCCATCCCCAGGGCTGCAAGGCCCTCCCCGGTGGGGAAGCCGAGCCCTGGCACGGCCTGACCGTGGTGCCATCCGTGCCCAGGTGCCTGGGGAGGCTGCAGGAGGTGAACCGGGAGCTGGCGGCGGCGCTGCAGGAGTGCAAGGGCGAGGCGGAAAGGCTGAGCATGGAGCTGGGGCAGCACGAGTCCCGCAGCACCGCCCTGCGCCTGGCCCTGCGCTGCAGGTGGGATGGGATGGGATGGGATGGGATGGGATGGCACCAGGGTGGGTGGCAGGATGGGGACAGCCACACTGAGCCCCTCGTCCCGCAGCGAGCGCTGCGGGGGTGCTTATGCCGCCCTCCTGGACCTGCTGCAGGCAAAGGTGGGACGGGAGGACGGTGCCCGTGGGGGTGAGTGACAGCTGGGGGGCTCCGGGGTGCTGGGAGTGCTGGGGGGTGCTGGGGAGTTGTCAGGGAGGATGATGGGGGGATAGCGGGTGTGCCGGGGAAGACACCGAGGGGATACTGGGAGTGCCAGAGAGGAGGCTGGGAGGATGTTAAGGGGATACTGGGGAGTTATCGGGATGGATGCTGGGAAGATACTGGTGCTGCTGGGGAGGATGCTGGGGAGGATACTGGGGAGTTACCAGGACAATGCTGGTGGTCCTGGGGAGGATTCTGAGGGGACACTGGGGAGTGACCAGCGAGGAGGCTGAAGGGATGCATGAGGCGTGCGTGGGGATTCGGGATGATGCAGGAGGGCTGAGCAGGAACACTGCACGGGCACTGGAGGGGTGCGGGGAGGATGCTGGGGGGCTGCAGGGAGGATGCTGGGGAGGGAGGATGCCCTGTAGAGGGGCACCTGCCCGCACACTGTCTGTCCCGTGCCCAGGAGCCACAGGGGAGCTGAGCCCGGGGCACGCACGGGGGTCCAGCCCCACAACCACGGAGGGGCCGCAGCTCCCGGGCCCAGCGGAGCCGGACAGGCAGGAGGAGAGCAGGGCCAGCAGCTCCCCCGGGGTGCAGAGGTACCCAGAGGAGGGTGGGGGGCACAGTGTTCGGGCCGTCCCCAGGGTACCCCCATGCCCACCCCAGGCACATCCCTATCCCACAGCACCCCGGCGCCCCGGGGGATGGAGGAGGGGGCCCTGCGGGAGCACATCCGCCGGCTGCGCGCGGAGCAGGCGGCCGTGGAGGGGTCCCTGCTGGACGCCCCGGCCCCCCCTGGGGTGACCCAGCAGGGCCAGGACGCCCGGGCCCGGGCTGAGAGGGCACTGCGGGATGCCAGGGAGCTGCTGCCGGGCTGGAGGCGGCCCGAGAAGGCGGAGCTGCTGCAGGACCTGGCGATGCTCAAGGTGAGGGATTTGGGGTTGAGGGGCCCGACACCCAGATCCCTCCATGTGGGAGCAGAGCTAGAGGGTGGTGATTCCACTGCCATGCCAGGAGGCCATGGCTGAGCTGAGGACGCGCCTGCAGCTGGCAGAGAGGGAGAAGCAGGGCCTGGAGGTGCTGCTGGCCGGGCAGGGCCCGCGGGAGGCTGCCCTGCGCCTCGTGCTCCAGCACCTGCAGTGGGAGCGGGACAGGGGCACCCGCCGCCCCCCCAGCAGCTCCAGCAGCTCCAGCAGCAGCGAGGGGGTAAGGATGGCCCCGAGCACCCTCCCCGGGGCTGAGGGTCTCCTCAGGGATGGGACCCACACCCAACCTCTGCAGGATGCCCAGATTGGCCGGGGCGGAGCGGCGGCTCCGCGGAACCCTCCGGATCCGGAGAGGATGAGGGAAGAGCTGCTCCGCACCTCGGCCAGGTGAGAGACCTCGATGGTGTGAGCGGTGCCAGGACGGCCACTGTGAGGGAATCATGCTGGGAATTGTGCTGGGATGGGCACCATGTGGGCACCAGGCACGGTGCAGGACTGGCTGCCACGCGCGTGTCCCCAGGACGGAGGAGCTGCGTGCCCGGGCACGGGAGCTGGTGCTGTCCCTGGAGCAGGGCAGTGCTGCCAGCCGAGCACAGCAGGCACAGAGTGTCACCGTCACCACGGATCTGTTCCAGGCGCACAGGTGGGCAGGGGGCACCCACCTCTCTGCTGGGTGGGCGTGGGGTGCAGCAGCTCCTGGGTGTCCTGTGTCCCTTGGGTGCCCTGGATTCCCTGAGTCCCCTTGGTCCTCTGGATGCCCTGGGTGTCTTCTGCCCCCTCAGTCCCTTGTGTCCCCTATGGCCCCTGGATCCCCTCGGTCTCCCGGGTGCCCTGTGTTCCCTCCATCCCTTGGTCCCCTGGGTGCCCTGTGTCCCCTGGACACCCTGGGTGTCCTGGATCCCCCGTGTCCCTTGGGTCCCCTGAATCCCCTGGATCTTCTCAATCCCCTGGATACCCTCTGTCCCCTGGATCCCCTGAGTGCCCTGGTTCCCCTGCATCACCTGAGTCCCCTGGTTCCCCTTGGTCCCCATGACCCCTGGTCGTCCTAAATCCCCTGGGTCCCCATATCCCCCATGTCCCCCATATCCCCCGTGCCCCCCTGTGTCCTTCACATGCCCGGTGTCCCCTCTGTCCCCCACATCTCCCATGCCCCCTGCGTGCCCGGTGTCCCCTCTGTCCCCCGTATCTCCCCTGCCCCCCCTGCCCCCCGTGCCCCCCGTGTGCCCGGGTGCCCGGGCGGGTGCTGAGCGTGCCCCTCAGCGCCCTGGCCCTGGCGTACCGCGGTGCCCGGCGCAAGCAGGCGGCCCAGGCGCGGCGCCTGGAGGCGCAGGCGGGAGCCCTGCGCAGGCAACATTCCCGGCGGGAGCAGGCGCTGGCCCGCAGGCTGCAATCCCTGGAGCGGGGCCCGGCCGGCAGCGAGACCTGCATCTAGAGACACCCCCCCCTCCCGGAGCCCCCTCCCCGCTGTACCCACGCCGTAATAAACCGTGGATGTTCATGCTTTGGCGTTGAGGGGGGGGGGTTTAGCTCGGACGGGGCTCAGCTGGGGGACCCCCGGCTCGGCTCATCCCAGGGGGGCCGGGAACAAAGGGCGTCGTCGTCCCCCCCCCCCCGCTGTCTCCCGGCGCAGATGAAGCCATTTGGTTGTCCCTGGCGCGGGATCAAAGGTGACGGCAGTGGCCGTGGCGCGGGGCCCATCCATATTCAGGAGGAAGAGGAGCGGTGACCCCGCGCCGGGGGCATCCCAGCCCTGCACGGGGGGCTCTGGGAGCGGGCTGTGCCGGGGGGCTGCCGGGGGGACTGGGGGGGGCTCAGCCCACCATCCTGAGCCCCCCCATCCCCGCACGAGGGAGCACGTGGATGGTGGGAACAGGGGTGAGCGTGGGGCTCAGGGGGACGAGCGGGGACAGGGCAGGGCTTGGATGCACCGAGGGGTGGAGGGAAACTGAGGCACGGAGCTGGAATGGGCTCCAGTGAGGCCTGGATCGCCCTGGAGAGATCCTGCAGCGGAGTTCAAGGCTCCGTGGATCAACATCTGGAGCTGTGGTGATGGAGAGCGCTGGGAGAGGGATGCAGGGATTCGGGGATGCAGGGACGCAGCGGTGCAATTATGCAGGGATGCAGAGCTGTGGGGACACAGGGATGCAAGGGATGTAGGGATTCAGGGATGCAGGGGATGTAGGGATTCAGGGATGCAGGGGATGCAGGGATTCAGGGATGCAGGAGATGTAGGGATTCAGGGATGCAGGGATTCAGGGCTGCAGAGTTGTGAGGATGTAGGGATTCAGAGTTGCAGGGATGTGGGGATGCAGGGATGTGGGGATGCAATGAGGCAGGGATTTGGGGATTCAGGGCTCCAGGGATTCAGGGAGCAGGGATGCAGCTCATCCCTCCCGAGCTGCCCGTGCCCTCCACCCCCACCACCTCTCCGCTCTCTGAAATGGGGTCACCTCCGTGTCCCCAGAGGCGGCAGGGCTGGATCAAAGGACAGCTTCCCCAGGGAGCTGCCCCGGCACAAAATGGGAGCAGCAGGGCCCTGATTGGTGCCCAGCACAGGGGGTGGGTGCCCAGACCCGGATACCGGAGCCGGGGGCTGCCTGTGCCCCCTGCTCCCAGTCCCTGCCTGCCCTGGGTGGGGAGCGTGGCTGGTGGGGGGGTCCCGTGGGCCGGGGCCGGTGGTGTGGAGGGGCTGACCCGCAGGTTGAAGGTCAGGGCTCCGCTCTCAGACCCCTTTTCAGATTCAAATGGGCTCCCGGGGGCTTTGTGCGGGGTCAGGCTCCACCGAGAGCCGCATGAAAGGCCGGGGCAGCCGGGGCGGCCTCGACCCTGGGTGCCGGGAGGAGGGGGAGGGCAGGTGGGACCTGCCACCGCCCCCACCCCGCCCAGAGGGTCCCCCCTGCCACGTCCTGCTGACCCCGGGGCCAGGCCGGGGCTCCACATGCCCGCTGATGTTCTGTCCCACTCCCTGCCTCAGTTTCCCCTCTGTGGAGCAGGAGGGGGGGTCAGGTCACCCCAAGCCTCTCCACAGGGCTGGGGGCAAATCCATGGCACTGGTGGGGTGCAGCCACCTCTCCATGGGGTGACATGGGGGGCTCAGGGGGGGAGGTGAGAGCCCCTGCGTGCGGTGACCCCCACCCAAGGTTTGCATCCTCACGGGGGTGGGAGCAGAGCAGGGCCTGAACAAGGGCTGAAAATCAGGGAATGGACCCCGAATCCCCATGTGGGGCTACACTGGGGCTTGGGGGGGGACAGACAGAGGGACGGGGTGGTATTTATCGAAGCCCCCGGGAAGCACCGCTGCTGGCAGTGGGCCTGGGAGAGGGAATGGCCACCCCACATCCCCCCAGAGCGGGGATAACTGGCACGAGGGGTTTTGGGGCCGGGCTGGTGCTGGTGTTGGCATCTGGCTCCGCAGTGCTGCTGGTTCCCACCTCTCCACCAGGGATGGCACCAGGCTCTCCGGTGCTGCTGGTTCCCACCTCTCCACCAGGGATGGCACCCGGCTCTCCGGTGCTGCTGGTTCCCACCTCTCCCTCGGTGCTGGCACCCAGCCCTCCAGTGCCACCAGCACCCGGCTCTCAGTCGGCACAGCCGCAACCCCAGCCCTGCCCCGCACATTTGGCAAGAACTCCTCCGCCATCCCCCTGCCCACGGGCCGTGGGGAGCGGGGTGAGGGGGCACCGGCGAGGCCTCCGCCGTGCTGGACCCTTCCCGGGGGCGCCGGGGCGGCACCGAAACGCGCCGGCGGCTTCCCGGGGGCCCTTTTGTGCGGCGGAGGCAGCGGAGCAGCGCGAGGAAGGAGGAATTCCTCCGGAGATCAAACGCCTTCACCAACTGGACACCGACGTCAAAACAAACCGGCTCCCAGCGCGGGGCCGGGAGCCGCGCGGGGGGACAAGATCCAATTTCCTCCTTTGTTCCTGGATTATTATTTTTTGCAGGGGGCGAGGGGGCGGGGGAGCGGCAGGGAAAGGGCCATAAATCACGGCCTGACAGAAGAGAAAGGAGAAGCGGGGCTGGCTGCAGGTGGGGGTGACCCCCCCTGCCCGCACTCGGACCCCCCCCCGAGCCCGGCCCCCTTCCCAGCTGGCTCTGCCGGGTGTTATTCCGTGACCACGGCAGCCCTGGGGCATCGGGGCCTGTCAGGGCACTGTGTCAGTGGGTACCTGGTGAGCAGAGACCCCTAAAGCCAGGAGAAATGGGGGGAGTGTTTTTTTTTTATGGCCATGTCACGCACCCCAGCTCCAGGCTCAGGGCCTTGCTTTGCCCTTCCCTTAACCTCAGCCCTGGCACGTGGGTTGGGAATGCCAAGGACACTGGCAGAAAGGTCCTGGCAGCGCCGGTTCCAGGCAGTGTGGGCATTCCCAGCCACGCCACGCGGCACCAGCATCCTCACCGTGAGGCGGAGTGCCCCGTGGGGACACCGGGGGGGTCAGGGGTGCGAGGGGGCACCCGGTCCACCCCACCCCGTCCCCGCGCCCTGCCCGCCGGACTTTGCCCCTGGAAGTCAAGGTGAGCAGGTGTTGGGATTCACCGGGGCCGCCGTGGCATGGCCGGGAGGGGAGTTTGGCCTCGGGTGAAAGGCGGCGGCAGGGCGGTGGCAGGGGCTGCTCCGGGGTCAGGCACCTTTCCACAGGGTTTATCCCCTGGTTAATGATTTCCAGGGCGGCAGCAGGCGGGCGAGGAGCACCCAGCACCCACCGCCCGCCCCTGGCCGGCTTCTACGGGTCCGACTGGATTAACCACATTGCAGACGGGCTTTATGGGGCCGCGGGAGTCGGGCCCCGGCCACGTCCAAGCCCTTTTGCTCCCTCCCAGGGCTGGTGGCTCCCCAGGGACCCCCGGGATCACCCCGCGGCCCCACATGAGCCGCGGCCTCGGTAATTAAAGATCCCGCTGGGGCCGTCGGCGAGAGGAGGGGATTGACGAGGGGATTGACGATGCCGACGGCTTGGCCATGGGCCAGGAGTAGTGGGGAATTGCTTCCCAGCTTCCCAGCATCCTGACGGCATCACACTGTGCCGCGACGCCGCAGCCCAGGTGGCCCTGCATGCCGGGCTCTCGGTGCCACGCTGGAATCCCAGTGCCACGCTGGGCTCCCGGTAGGATGTGGAGCTCCCAGTGCCATGCTGGGCTCCCGGTAGGATGTGGAGCTCCCAGTGTCACGCTGGGCTCTTGGTCCAACGTGGGGCTCCCAGAGCGATGCCGGACTCCCAGTTCTGTGCTTGGATCCCAGTGCCACACCAGGCTCCTGTGACAGTGCCAGGCTCCCAGTTCTGTGCTGGGATCCCAGTGCCACACCGGGCTCCTGTGACAGTGCCAGGCTCCCAGTTCGACGCTGGGCTCCCGGTACAACACCAGGCTCCCAGTTTGATGCTGGGCTCCTGTTCCAATGCCAGCCTCCCACCACAATTCCAGGCTCTCGGTGCAGCGGGAGGTGCCGAGCTCTCCCGGTGCCAGCCAAGGGCTCTGGTGCCCAAAATGCAGCGGGACCGGGAGGGGCCACATCCAGCCACCTCCGGTGGCCAAACCTCCCGCTCCATCACCACGGCACCGCACCGGGGCCGTGCCCGGCTCTGCCGCCGCCGGTACCACGGGCCCAGGGCGCCGGTTGCCGCCCCGCCCGGGGCTGCGGGGCCCCGCGGCGTGCGGGGGGCGGCGGGGGCGGCCCGGTGCGGCGGCGGGGCCGGGACCGGGGCAGGACCCGGGAGCGGAAGGGGAGGAGGACGGGGAGGAGCATCCAGGGCGGCCACCGCGGCAGCGGCTGAACTTTGCTCTTTCACGGGAGGCGGGGAGAGCCCCGGGGCTCGGCGGAGCCGGTCCCGCCGCACCCGCACCCGCACCGGGACCGGGCTGCGTGCGGCGGCGGGGCCCGGGGGGGCGAGGGCGGGCCGGGGCAGCGCCGCCCCCTCCCTCCTCCTCCTCTCCTCTCCTCCTCCTCCTCCTCCTTCCAGCCGGTGCCGCGGAGCGGAGGAGCCACCGGGGGCGGGAGCGGCCCCCGCATGCGGCCGGTCCCCGCGGGGGGGGATGCGCCGCGCCCCGCGCCCGCCGCCGCCGCAAAGTTTCCGCGGGGCCCCCCCGTTAACCGGGGCGGGGAGGAGGAGGGGGAGGAATCGCTGGGAAAAACGAATCCCTGGGCGAAAGGGATCCCGGCGATAGGGGAGGGCTGAACCGGGGGTGGGGGGGGGGGGGAAAAAAAAAAAAAAAAGGGCAAGAAAAAAAAAAAAAAAAAAAAAAAAAAAAAAAAACCGGAAAAACCCCAAACCGGCCCCCCCCCGGCCAAAAAAAAAAAAAAAACTTGCCGAACTCGTTTGCGGGAGGCACCACCGGGGCGGCTCCGCTCGATGCGGCGGCGGGGCCGGCGCTGAGCCCCGCGGCCGGTGCCGAGAGCCCCGCGGAGCCATGGCCATGGTGGCCGGCGGATGGGGAGAGCCCAACGGCGGCGGCGGCGGCGGCG